TGCGTGTGTGTGGGTGGAGTTTGTAATGTAGTGGGTGGGGGCATTGGATGTGGGCATGGGTGTTTGATTTAGTGTTTGGTTGCACTGGGGTTGACCTGGTTGAGAGGCTTCTATAGGAAGTTGTGAGGGAGGCTGTATTTGATCTTCTTCCTGGGTGTGTGTGTGTGTGTGTGTGTGTGTGTGTGTGTACTCACCTAGTTGTACTCACCTAGTTGAGGTTGCGGGGGTCGAGTCCGAGCTCCTGGCCCCGCCTCTTCACTGATCGCTACTAGGTCACTCTCCCTGAGCCGTGAGCTTTATCGTACCTCTGCTTAAAGCTATGTATGGATCCTGCCTCCACTACATCGCTTCCTAAACTATTCCACTTACTGACTACTCTGTGGCTGAAGAAATACTTCCTAACATTCCTGTGATTCATCTGTGTCTTTAGCTTCCAACTGTGTCCCCTTGTTACTGTGTCCAATCTCTGGAACATCCTGTTTTTGTCCACCTTGTCAATTCCTCTCAGTATTTTGTATGTCGTTATCATGTCCCCCCTATCTCTCCTGTCCTCCAGTGTCGTCAGGTTGATTTCCCTTAACCTCTCCTCGTAGGACATACCTCTTAGCTCTGGGACTAGTCTTGTTGCAAACCTTTGCACTTTCTCTAGTTTCTTTACGTGCTTGGCTAGGTGTGGGTTCCAAACTGGTGCCGCATACTCCAATATGGGCCTAACGTATAGGGTTTGTACAGGGTCCTGAACGTTTTCCTTATTAAGATGTCGGAATGCTGTTCTGAGGTTTGCTAGGCGCCCATATGCTGCAGCAGTTATTTGGTTGTGTGCGCTTCAGGAGATGTGCCTGGTGTTATACTCCCCCCAAAGATCTTTTTCCTTGAGTGAGGTTTGTAGTCTCTGACCCCCTAGACTGTACTCCGTCTGCGGCCTTCTTTGCCCTTCCCCAATCTTCATGACTTTGCACTTGGTGGGATTGAACTCCAGGAGCCAATTGCTGGACCAGTTCTGCAGCCTGTCCAGATCCCTTTGTAGTTCTGCCTGGTCTTCGATCGAGTGTATTCTTTCATCAACTTCACGTCATCTGCAAACAGGGACACCTCAGAGTCTATTCCTTCCGTCATGTTTGTTCACAAATACCAGAAACAGCACTGGTCCTAGGACTGACCCCTGCGGGACCCCGCTGGTCACAGGTGCCCACTCTGACACCTCGCCACGTACCATGACTCGCTGCTGTCTTCCTGACAAGTATTCCCTGATCCATTGTAGTGCCTTCCCTGTTATCCCTGCTTGGTCCTCCAGTTTTTGCACCAATCTCTTGTGTGGAACTGTGTCAAACGCCTTCTTGCAGTCCAAGAAAATGCAATCCACCCACCCCTCTCTCTCTTGTCTTACTGCTGTCACCATGTCATAGAACTCCAGTAGGTTTGTGACACAGGATTTCCCGTCCCTGAAACCATGCTGGCTGCTGTTGATGAGATCATTCCTTTCTAGGTGTTCACCACTCTTCTCCTGATAATCTTCTCCATGATTTTGCATACTATACATGTCAGTGACACTGGTCTGTAGTTTAATGCTTCATGTCTGTCTCCTTTTTTAAAGATTGGGACTACATTTGCTGTCTTCCATGCCTCAGGCAATCTCCCTGTTTCGATAGATGTATTGAATATTGTTGTTAGGGGTACACATAGCGCCTCTGCTCCCTCTCTCAATACCCATGGGGAGATGTTATCTGGCCCCATTGCCTTTGAGGTATCTAGCTCACTCAGAAGCCTCTTCACTTCTTCCTCGGTTGTGTGCACTGTGTCCAGCACTTGGTGGTGTGCCCCACCTCTCCGTCTTTCTGGAGTCCCTTCTGTCTCCTCTGTGAACACTTCTTTGAATCTCTTGTTGAGTTCTTCACATACTTCCCGGTCATTTCCTGTTGTCTCTCCTCCTTCCTTCCTTAGCCTGATTACCTGGTCCTTGACTGTTGTTTTCCTCCTGATGTGGCTGTACAAACAGTTTCGGGTCAGATTTGGCTTTCGCTGCTATGTCATTTTCATATTGTCTTTGGGCCTCCCTTCTTATCTGTGCATATTCATTTCTGGCTCTACGACTGTTCTCCTTATTCTCCTGGGTCCTTTGCCTTCTATATTTCTTCCATTCCCTAGCACACTTGGTTTTTGCCTCCCTGCACCTTTGGGTAATCCATGGGCTCATCCTGGCTTTTTCATTACTCCTGTTACCCTTGGGTACAAACCTCTCCTCAGCCTCCTTGCATTTTATTGCTACATATTCCATCATCTCATTAACTGGTTTCCCTGCCAGTTCTCTGTCCCACTGAACCCCGTTCAGGTAGTTCCTCATTCCTGTGTAGTCCCCTTTCTTGTAGTTTGGCTTCATTCGTCCTGGCCTTCCTGCTTCTCCCTCCACTTGTAGCTCTACTGTGTATTCGAAGCTTACAACCACATGGTCACTGGCCCCCAAAGGGGGCTTTCATATGTGATGTCCTCGATATCTGCACTACTGAAGGTGAATACTAAGTCCAGCCTTGCTGGTTCATCCTCTCCTCTCTCTCTTGTAGTGTCCCTTACGTGTTGGTACATGAAGTTCTCCAAGTACCACCTCCATCATCTTAGCCCTCCAAGTATCTTGGCCCCCATGTGGGTCCAAGTTCTCCCAATCTATCTCCTTGTGGTTAAAGTCACCCATGATCAGGAGCTTTGCCCTGCATGCATGAGCTCTTCTGGCCACTCTAGCCAGTGTGTCAAAATGGCTGTGTGTGTGTGTGTGTGTGTGTGTGTGTTTGTGTATGTGTGTATATATATGTTGTGTGTGTGTGGTGTTGTGTGTGTTGTGTGTGTGTTGTGTGGTGTGTGTGGTGTGTGTGTGTGATGTGTGTGTGTGTGTGTGTAATTATGTGTCGAATTATGTGTGGGTTTTTTGTGTCTGAAAAATAGGTGGCTTGTGCTTTTTATGTAAAAGTGGGTTCTCAGTGGTCGCTTTTGTCCACAAAACCCCTTTGTGACCTGACTCCACTCTCCTGAGACTTTCGCTCCCTCTTACAAAGTTGCCCATGCTTGATGCTTATAGTAAGTTAATCGCTTGTTCAATGGGTTACATTTCTATTCCTATTGAATATTGATGCCTTTCTTTTTCGTGATGGAGTTAGCCTTCACATTCAGCTTTGGGGGTTAATTGGAACCCGGAACTCCCCACCCAACAACCATCATAGGTGATACGTACTTGTGCAGCTGTAGCATATAGATTGTCCAGCTCGATGTGACGTCCGGCGTGATCCAGCTCGATTTTGTCCTGGGTAGATCCACCCCAAATTTTTTCTCGTTAATAATGTACCCCATTCATGATTTCTTCATGGTCGCACGATTTTTTCACTTTATTATCTTTCTTGGGGGACACTTGACAAGTCGCCTTACCACAACTACCTGCCCATTTTTGGGACAACGTTTTTATTTTCTAGATCACTTACAAAATTGTGGCTTCCCAACTTATGTGGCTCAGGGAAATTTAAAAATCACTTCTAGGATTGTTACTACCCGACAAAACTTGCAACCCTTTCAGAACACTTGATAGCCCCCAAAAACCTTATATTCCCGGAGCACGGAAGGGTGACTAGCGCGCCCCTGCCCTACTGTTGTGTGTGTTGTTGTGTGATTAATATTTGTTGTTTGTATGTATTTTTTTAAGGTTGCCAAGATTTTGTCCCGCCAGGGTTTACTTAAAGACATCAGCCACTGTAATTTTCGATTTTTTCGCAGTATAGAAGAAAAAAATTTTGTTTTCCCTATTGCTGGGTCTTGGGGGGCAAAACTACATTAAAAACCCCCAAAGTCAACTGCTAACGAGGGTCAAACAGAGATTTTCTCCGTAAAAAAGGGCTTCCCCACGCGTTGGTGGGGGTTGTACCACTCACTCAAAAACTGGGCCCGGGTCCCGGGGTCCTGGTCCTGGGTCCTCGATCTGCTGTTTATGGGTTTCTGCTTCCCCCTATAATCCACAGCAACCCCCAAACTGGATAAATTTTTTGGTGTGTTCGCTCCGTCCGGTTACTGAAAAACCACAAGGGGTTAGAACCCCAGAAAGTCTTATTGAACTGTTGCAGCCCGATGTTTTGTATTTCTTTACCCAGACACAAGATGATGTCACGCCCGTTGATGGGTGTACCTCGTCTGTCTGCCCGCCCCCTTGTTGTCTGTTTCTTCGTTTCTGTCTGGGCTCTCTCTCTCTCTCCTCTTCTTTCTCCTCTCTTTTCTCTTCTCTTCTCTCTTCTCTTCCCCTCTTCTCTCTCTCTCTTTATATAATATATAATATATAATATATATATATATATATAATATATAATTATTATATATATAAAATATATTTAAAAATATATTATAATATATTATATATATATATATATTATATGTCTTGCCGAATAGGCAGAACTTGCGATCTTGGCTTAAATAGCAAGGCTCATCTTGCATATAGGAGAAGTCAAAATTTGTGTATGCAATAATTTCGCCAAAATCATTCTGAACCTAACGAAAAAAAATACGTTTCACTGTGTTTGTTTAGTATTAAATTATTGTAAACAAATCTAAAATATATTTAGTTGGGTTAGGCTAAATTAAATTGTTCTTGTTATAATAAGGTTAGGTAAGTTTTCTAAGATTCTTTTGGTGCAAAATTAAAAATTTTTACATTAACATTAATGAAAAAAATGTATCTTTAAACGTATAAGAGAAAATTTTAGAAAGGACTTAATTTTAAATGAGTTCTTGCTAATTGACCAGTTTTACATATTCGGCACGACATATATATATAATATATATATATATATATATAATATATATATATATATATATATATATATATATAATATATATATATATAATATATATATCGTGCCGAATAGGCAAATTGGTCAATTAGTAAGAACTTATTGTAGGTTAAGTAATTTCTAAAATTTTCTCGTATACGTTTAGAGACATTTTTTTCATTTACATGTTAATGTAAAACTTACTTACTTAACTTTATTGTAACAAGCGGAATTTAATTTAGACTAAACCAACTAAATATATTTTATATAAGTTTATAATAAACAAACAAAATGAAATATATTTTTTCATTAGGTTCAGAATTATCTTTTTTTGCGAAATTGATCGACACCATGCCCAGCCCTTCTAGGGTAGGGTAGGTGCCTGAGCCCGAGCTTGCTGCTCACAAGACTGCCATTCCCGTTAGTCTCCTTGGGGCGGGATGGCAGATCAGAGAGGCCTAGCTTCTCCCTACGTGCCCCGTGAGGGCGGGGAATGTTGCTAGGCCTGGGGACAGTTGGTCCCAAAAATGAGGGGGTACTTGTGCCTCCTCCCATGGGAGACTTAGGTCTCAGACAGTCCCTAGAGAAGGAGCCAAGGCCGGGTCACCACTTGGAAAAGGCCCGGGCCGGGACAATACCGGCGAATATTTAATAATAATAATTTTCGAAATTGTTGCATACACAAATTTTCGCTTTCTCTATTCGGCAAGAAGAGCATGGCTATTTAAGCCAAAATCGCAAGTTTTACTTATTCGGCACGACGTATATATCATTAACGAACTGTGGAATGGCCGGGAATCGATCCCGTGCTACCTTAGCCCTCATCGTGGGAAGCGAGACAACGTCCACGATGCTTTAACCACTGGAGAAAATGCTGATGGAAATACATCTCTATGTATATATCCGTACTATTAATTTTAGTAATTGCTGCTGCTAGGTGAAATGATTATTCCTGACAAACATACAATTATCACTTAGAAAGACGAGGTTAATTCCAGTTATATTATGAATTTATATATTTTCCTTATAATATTTTCCTCCTATGTGTTCTGTAAAAATTCTTTTTCAGTATATTAAATCTGTTGAATAATACATTCACATAATACATATGAAATAGCTTTTCTTTGAAACACTCGTAAGAAGCAATCATTTTAATGATTTTAATACTGTCTGCTCGCGCATACCAGCACCTCAAAGACTTCGTCTGGGAGACACAAATGACTCGCAACTCAACCAAGAATGTGGTTCCTCGAGTTACCATCGAAGCCACAGGATTCTACACACTGAGATTCTCTCTGTTTATTCATTTTTAAGGTATCATATATCAATGTATGAGGAAGACAGTCTGCTACAGAGGATTGTTTACCCCAGCAAAGCCTCGCCACAAGGAAACAGAACATATATATCATCGATGTAATATCTAATATTTTGTTTAGAGCTTATTAGAACATTTTATTGCCATTATTAACATCAGTTTCATATTTCATAATAATTTAAAGTCTGTGGATGACACTCACATTATTTCTTACTTATATTTGAACGTGAAGTCAATACCCACAAGGAGACAGAAACAGGAGTGGTGGGTTGCCTGTATAACATAACCTTCAACTGGGGTCCTTTTCAGCAGGAGAGGATCTCAGTTATAGGTCAAAATATACACACAACCTGTCACTCTAGATTCAGTCTCTATGTGAGTAATGACCTCTCGTTAACAGCTGTTAAGTACACTTTGACGAACCCATATTTATGAATAAAGCTGCAATGTTATGATGCAGTAGTACATCTATCTTGAAGGTTAGTTAAGTTGTGTTATGATGTCGAGCCTTCTTTCCCAGTTGACTGACGACGGGTGTTCTCATAATCCAGCGCCAGGTGTTCTCATCATCCAGCGCCAGGTGTTCTCATCATCCAGCGCCAGGTGTTCTCATCATCCAGCGCCAGGTGTTCTCATCATCCAATTGACACTATGGTATTTTCCCCGTAGAAGCAAGTTGGATGTCAAGGGAAGGCAGAAGGTCGATAATATGGGCTTGTGTTAGGATTAAAAATGTTGAAAATGGAGTTTATATATATATATATATATATATAATATATATATATATATATATATATATATATATATTATATAATATATATAATCAGTGTACAATACTCTTTATTTTAGTTTATATAACATTTTAGTAAACATTTCTTTATATCCCTCTTTCTCTTATTTTCTGTGACTCTCTTCATGCATTGAATTCATCTCTTTTCTCCCATTTATACCATTTACTTGCTCTTATAACATATTTCCTTCAAAAGTAGAAAATATCTGTACGTAAAAAATGTGAACCTGCTTCTTTCTGCCTGTGAACCACATGTGGTTTTGGGATTGAAAGAATGTGTTACATTTCGCAAGTTTATTATACTATGCAATGATGGCACTTGGAACTTCCTTGCCTGAAAGCAGAAATTATATTGGGTCTGGTTGATATGGTGTCGAAACACGGAAGTGTGTATCGACGTACGGAAACATGTGTCGCTTATCCAGCAGTGAATGACAGTAGGAAAGTACACCCATTGTTGTGGGGACTCGGGGGTGTGCCAGGAACTGAAGAATTACTGTGATATTCTTTTAGAACGCCTCTTACCATGTTGCTCTAATATCTCATTCAGAGTTGTGTGAATATGAGATGATATATATTTATATATATATGCTTCTCTTAGCCATCAACAATCGTAATAATATTCAATAACATAATAAATAATTCCACTGGAAGGAAATAGATTAAAATATTTAGAAAATAAGAAGGGAAGTGTATTGAAAGGAGACAGACAACAGCGAGGGAAGGGGGGGGGGGACTCTTTCAACATAGAACACGCGCGGCCAGCGACAGTACACAATTTACTGATATAACCACCTTATACATATAGCCAGAGATATGTTTTGGGAATATTTATGGCTTAGTAATATTTTCAACATCTTTAAGTAGTACCTAGTGAATGAAAATAAACACTGTTTTTCTCCTCTCTCGTTCTCGATTCAATCTCTTGCAGCTTTGAAACTGATCACGGACGGCCCACTGGGGCTAGAATTATAAACATGAAAGATGTGTATTGAATGCTAAGTGCAATCCATAGAATATATAATTTTCTTCTCTTATTATTTTCCAAAATAGTAAAAAATGTTTAAATAGCTCCAAGAAGCTCTTTCTTTTTGTCAAAGAGAACCTTCACAGAGGCGTAAACCTTCTCCAGTTCCTCGAGGTTGGGCTCTTCCTTGGCGGTCACGTCGGACACCTTGACAGACAGGTCGTCTGTGGTGGTTTTCAGGTCCTCCCAGGTCTTCACGAGGGTCTGGATCTGTGGGGAAGAGCAGCACAGAACATTACCTTAGCGGCCTTATGGGCTACGCTAAAACTGATACCAGTCTCTGCAATGATTGCTTGATGACGTTTATGTACGGACTCGTGTACCACCAAGGAACAGGTGAATTATCCCAGTCAGTGCATTGTGATTTTAATCTTATTTATGTCAGATTTTCACACCGTTCATTTCTTCTCTCATTCCTTTTCTTACCTTCTCTACTCGTTCCACAACGGTCTTTTTGACAGTGTCCCAACGGTTGGAAAGAGGAGCAACCTCATTCTCAGTGCTGCTAGCCTTCTCCATGGAGTCGCGGGCCTTGCCAGCAGAGTCCAGCTTTTCCTTTTCCTTAGCGCACACACTGTCGAACTCCTGCTCGGGAAAAAGACATTAAGATCAGTTCGTCGTGACGGCTCGTATTAGCAAAATATCTGATGTACTTTTTCTTTTACAACATTAGCTATTTTTCCATCAAAAAAATTTTTTTGTTGGATTATACTTCTCCTAAAGATGGAACAAAAAAGGAACTTATTTGATTCCATCTTTAGGATAAGTATAATAAACAGAGAAAACTATTTTAGTTATTACTGTTTCTGATGTTATTATAAATTAAAATACTGGTCACAGACCGGTCCCCGGGGGCTTTGACCCCCGGGACTCTCTCCAGGTAAACTCCAGGTGCTAAAATAATAATAATAATGAAGAACAATAATAATAATTATAATTAAACCAGTAATAATAAATAATGATAATTTCCATAATACTATTATTATTAATTATTATTATATTCATGGGGAAACCTAAACTCGTATTGGTTCTATAACTCTTAGGGAATGGGAGGCAGTTACTATTAACCCGAGAAGGGGGATGTTGCAGCTCCAATTCCTAGGATCGAAAGCCCGTCACTGGCAAAAAGACACCCTACTGAAGTGATAGAGAAGACACAAGACTTACCTTGGCACTCTCCAACAGAGCAAGAGCGTCTTCCAGGGAGGTGGGCTTAGGGACAGGCTCCTTGATCTTGGCTTCAGCAGACTCCATCCAGGGCTTGAAATCCTTCACTCCGCACAGGTAGTCGGCGTAGAACCGCTGGTCCTGTGAGATGGACCCAGCCTCCTTCTCCACCTCCTGGCACACTTCAGTCACGAACGCCTTGGTTTCATTCCAATCTGCCAGGGTCTTTTTGGCGGTCTCGGATTTCTCAAGGTCCTCGTCTGTCGAATATTGAAGACACGCATCAGCTGAAGCTGCGTCTAAGGATTTTGGCTAATGGAGCAAGGTCATGGCTGACACTTTACTCACAAGTCACAAGACAGACTTAAACACTGAGAATATATAGTTTAGTGACAAGACGGAGGTTTGTATAGGTCTCGATAATAGTATATATTCTGTATATACTGTATATATAAATACACTTAAAGTATAATAAACTACTGGTATCTATTTTTAATATTTTCCATATTTACAATATGAAATCTTACTAGGTAATGTTTTTATTAGAAACAGAATTTCGCCATAAATAAAGTAACATAAAATACAGCCAGTTGAAATCAGTTGAGTTAATGTGTTATTTTGCCGGAAGTCAGCAACATCCGCTGTTGTAAAGTAAATTATCATAACTATAAACAAAAGTATCAAGTTATGAAATAATAAGCAAATTTAAAAAAAGAAAAGAAAATAATATCATTTTACTGCAGTATGCGACAAGCCGTAAACAAACTGGTCCTCAGAGGTGGTAGAAATGAAATGAAAATATAGGAGCCGCTTCGTGTGTTAAGTAGTTGTCAGGAGCGCGAGTTAAATTCTCATACACTGGTCCATCTGAACTTACTTCCACTGCTTGGTATCGGAGACGAGAGTTGTTGATGTGTGGCGACCCCACACAGGAGCAACGATTTACCGGGTTGCTGGGAGGGTTGGGTCAGGTCAGGTCACAAGGAGAAAGAAGGGATGAAGGGTATTGATCTTCTGTAGCTTCGGAGGGAAGGAAGAGAGGTTAGAGCATGCTGGACTGCGAGACAGTTTTTTTCTTCTCTTCTAACCTTTTTTTTGTGAATAATTGATATAGAGTTACAGGAAGATCAGAATGATTTTATGACAATTTGTAAAGGCTCTTACAAAGTGAATTATTAAATAAAAAGAAGGTATTTACCTTTATTATATTTAAACCATGACGAAGATTTGTTTAAATTACAAATTTTATCTCAGTAATATGGCATTGAACTTCATTGTAATACAATAATAACAAAAAACCATGACCAAGGTTGGTGTTTTGTTTTCGACGAAGGTTACCTGTGAGTAAAGCCTTATATTCGGCATTGAGGGGGTCGATCTGTGGCAGCCTCTCCTGTGCTTGCTCCTGAAGGATGAGGATCTCCTTGACACGGTCCTCGGGGCTCAGGTCAGGGTCGGTAGTGATCTCCTTGAGCTTGGTGTTGGTTGGGCTAGCCCAGTCTTGGAGAGCCTTGGCGTGGTTTACTGCCTTGGCCAGTTTCTCGTTGTACTCGAAGAGCTTGTTCAGTTTAACATTACATTTTTCGATGACATTTCTCTTGTCTTCAACATCTGCAACCTACAAGAAAAGGGAAATTTCCTATATTTTTCTCTGTATAGAACACTTTCACATTTATTTTTTTTACGCGTCTGCCATTATGCATGTTTGGTTACAGTCTTTGCAAGAACTTTCATACCAGTCATCAACAGAATAAACAAGCAGAAATTAACATACTTGAGAAACTGAACATAAAACATCTGTTCATTATGCAAAATACAATTCGACTGTGTTCCAGCATGTTAGCAATAAAACAATAAACCAATACAACGAGTGATTGCAAATATGAAAAAAATTACCCCAGTGAAAATAGGAAATAAAACCTGAACTCTTTCAGGTGCTTGCACATACATCTTCTGAAGAAATTCATTTACAAGCTAGGAGTATACTATAGAAGGTTATTAAACATTTGGAAAACGAAAGTGCAGGCGATTCCCAAAAGCATCAACTCACCTCCTTGTCGAGGAATTCCTTCTTGTCATCACCGGCAAGGACGATGATGGTGTTGTAACACTTCTTGATGTTGGCAAACATGTCATCAGCTAACTGTTTCTGCTCCTCCCAGGTGGTTCTCTTCTGAGCCAGCTTGCGAGCGCCCATCACGGGGTCGAAGAACTTCCTGTAGCGCTTCAGCTCGCCCTCCAGCTTCTCTATAGGATCGTTGATGGCAGCTCGGAGTTCATCGTACTTCTCCCAGTCCTTGGCGGAGTCTGCAGGGAAACCCCAGTGGTGGTAAGATATATTATTTAATGATGTAGTCTTTCTTTCTTTCTTTCTTTCTTTCTTTCTTTCTTTCTTTCTTCTCTCTCTCTCTCTCTCTTTCTCTCTCTCTCTCTCTCTCTCTCTCTCTCTCTCTCTCTCTCTCTCTCTCTCTCTCTCTCTCTCTCTCTCTCTCTCTCTCTCTCTCTCTCTCTCTCTCTCTCTCTCTCTCCAAATTTAGGTGATTTCGTGTTTCTTGACAATAGTCATCAAATCATTATTTTGAATTCTTTAAAAAATATCAAATTTACCTTCAAATATTCCGTATTCGCTGGATGTCCCTCGACTCAGACATTCTTTGTTACCACTGACTCTGCAATGATTCGTATATAGTGAATAGAAGAATGGAGGTGAAAGTTTTGACAATGCCAATTTGTGAGCAGCAAGGCTAACCAACCTAGGTTTTATGCTTAGAAACTTCAAGCGCAAATACCAGACACCATTTAACTCTCTTGTTAGACCTCATCTTGAAAATGCCGTCGAATTGTGGTCTCCAAGTGAAATAAAAAGCGAAAATATACTGGAGAGGGTGCAGAGAAGGGCTATGCAACTCCTCCCATCACTCAAAAATAAACCTTATGAGGAAAGACTCAAAGCGCACACGATCGTATTCAAATCTTTATGATATTGAATGGTCTGTACATACTCAAACGTGAAGAACTATTTGAATTGAAACTGTGAGGCAAGAGACGCAACACGAACGTATGCCAGCTCTTGTTTTTGGCAAAGAGAATTATAGGAGATTATAATAAACCCTCAGCTAATGTTGCAAGCGAAAAGGTAATACAATCATTCAAAAACCAGCTACACAAGCACTTTCGAAAAATAAAATTAAAACCAGATATATCATGCCATAGTGGAAGTAGTGGCCAGAACCTTCAGAACCTTCAATACCTGTATAATGCAAAATAATCTTTAAAATCTAGGTAAGATAGATGTTTTTTTCTGACAGCTTCTACTGTGTTTAGCATGTTTTTCTTTGCAATTCAGACGAAAGAGAAGAGACAAGATAATGAAAAATATATATACATGCAGAATTTTGGGAGAAGAATTGCAGACAACAGAGCTGGCGGAATGAAACATAAAAAATAAAGGCTGGGGACGTGAGGGAGAATACTCATGCAGTCTTGATGAAATCAAATGAAATTTTGATAAAACTAATACGAGAGATAACGTGGATAATCATTGTAGATAAGGAGACGATGAAGAAAGAAATGTCAGGTTATACTTAACCTCGAAGAACTGGAACTGGAAAACTGGAAACTACATGATGGTGGGATGGCAGGATGATCAAGCACTTGCATGTAGAGACGAAGAAAATATACTGATTTTTTTGATAGTTTGTTCTGGCCTCACTTCCCTTTTAATTCCCCAACCCTCTCATTCCCTCCCACATTCTCATTCACCCATTCCAGCCATCACTCTCTCCCTTTTCCTTATCTGCATAAAAGCATTCAACCTGTCTCAGAGTCTCTCCCACTGTCTCCCCCTCCTGCCTCACCCTCTCGCTCTCCCCATCCACTACCTTTACCACCTCTCTTTACTCTCTCTTTCCCAACATAACCTCCTCCTCTCCCTCTTCCCCTCTATTTTCCTTCAGCTGATTCACATCCCCATCCTTTTTTCCCCGGCATGATTATTAATACCCTTCTCACCAGCCCTCTATCCAAAGTCATTCTTCTCAATGTACTTCTATGCTTCCCTCTCCGTATTCACACCATCCTACCGCTCAATTTCAACCATAACATTCTCTCTCCCAATTTCAACCAATAATTCTCCTTTTTCGACTTATGCCAATTATTCTTGCCTTACTGCCAGTGGCGCAGTGGAAGTGTAAGGGTTCAGCGATTTCTCATGAATATTATATTTTATCAAAAGCGGGTCGTGCATCTCTAGGATCTGTATTGCATTGCCAAGAGGTGCTAAACCTATATGGATCATTCCGAGTAAGACGAGGATTTTATTATTATTATATTCATCGGGAGGCGTTAAACCCATAAGAATCATACAGCATCTGGTGCACGACCCGCTCTTGATAAAATATAATGTTCATGAGAAATCGTTTAACCCTTACACTTCCACTGCGCCACTGGCAGTAAGGCAAGAATAACTGGCATAGGTCGAAAAGGAGAATTATTGGTTGAAACTGGGAGAGAGAATGTTATGGTTGAAATTGAGCTGCAGGATGGTGTGAATACGGAGAGGGAAGCATAGAAGTACATTGAGAAAAATGACTTTGGATAGAGGGCTGGTGAGAAGGGTATTAATAATCATGCCGGGGAAAAAAGGATGGGAATGTGAATCAGCTGAAGGAAAATAGAGGGGAAGAGGGAGAGGAGGAGGTTATGTTGGGAAACAGGGAGAAAAGAGAGGTGGTAAAGGTAGTGGGTGGGGAGAGCGAGAGGGTGAGGCAGAAGGGGGAGACAGTGGGAGATCAGTCTATATAAGACGAAGGGCAGCAACACTTACTGACGAGCATGGAGTGCCTCTTCTTGGAGAGGTCGTTGGCCTCCACCCAGGTGTTCTCCATCTTCTCGATGAGATCGGTGAGGAAGGGAGCTTTGTTGGGGTTCTGGAGGAGCTTCTTACCTCGCTTGAGCAGCTCCTCGTAAGTTTCCCTCTGGCCGTCGATGGTGTTCATAATCTAGTGAAGACGTTGAGGAGGTAAAGGATGGACGAACAAGTGGAACTAGGATGGTGGATCCTGGGAAGTTAGGACCTGGATTATTACCACCTAGGGCAGGGTTCCCTATCTGGGGGGCACGCACCCCCATGGGGTGGGAGATGGCATTTCAGGGGGTGTGACAAAGAGTCCTAATGAAAAAGCCCAATTCCGTTTAGTTTACCAAAAACTTTCCTAATTGCTCAATTTATATTTGCATTTTATACACTGAATTAAAAGCACATTTTCTGAGTTCAATTTGTTCACCAGTAGAACTGCATTTGTTTCCTAGGGGCGCGGGACATAGAAAAGGTTGGGAACCCCTGACCTAGGGAGTTGCGGGTTCCAGATAGTTGCGAATTATTCTGGGAAGACGCCACAGCCTTGTGATTCAGGACGTGGGTCGCCAAAATCTGTAAAATTCTATTAGGAGATTTCAGATTCTCCTGAGAATTTTTTCTCCGGTTTTTGGGAAATTCTTCATGACTTGGTAAATCACTGTGAGGCGTAAAGGCAGAGTCCCGTGAGGTGGAAAGGCACGTCACGAGAATAGTTATGGAATTAGAGTTAAAATTATGAACTAGTAGGAAAAACTGATGGAAGGATAATTGCAACCCCCATTACCACAGAGGAAGATGTAATTAGCTACTAGGACGAATCCTCAGGCTTCAAGACTGGAAAATTTGGGTACGAAATTTTTAAGGTAAATTTGAGTTACAGATAATGATTTATAAGTCATCCTCTATTTTTCTTTTAAATTTATGTCTTTAAGATTAAAAAAGAAAGATGGAACTTCTAGGAGTTGTAAATGATGCATGTTCCCTATTTAGTCAAAGCCTAAATTGTTCTTAATTAAAAGACTAATTCGTTTTTGATATCTATTATAAATTTAGTAAAACGAAAATAAACTAAATAAATCTCTCTCGCCATATCTCTCAGTTCATTTTAATAGTGGAAAAGAATTTTTGAAACAAATTAGATATACAGAAAAGTTTCCAGCAGCGAACCTTTTCAACTTTCTCGATCTGCTCCTCAACCATGTTCATGTTGTGAGGATGGATCTCCTTGACTGACAAGTGACGCATCTCCTCCAGGGTCTTGAGGCAAGCACTGATGTCGTCACCGTAAGCGTAGCACCTGGCATACACGTCCACCTTGGCTTGAGACTCCTGCGTAGAAGGCATCAACTTGTTGTGGCGGTCGATGAGCGCCTGCAGCTTCTTCTTCTCGGCTGCCTTGAACTCCTTGTCCTTGGAACTGACGGTGGCCTCGTCAGACACTCGCATAGCTACCTTCTCCAGCATCATGTCCAGCCACTCCTTCATGCCCTCCTTCTCCAGGTCACGGCACAGGGACTGCAAGGAAGGAAATGAAATATTTATGTGACATTTTAGGGTGAAATCTTGATTCTGGTGAAAACTCTCGAACCACAGAATTTAAACTACCTTTCCCTTACACAGGCTCTTCACCACTCTTACGGGTTTAGCGCTTCTCTATGTATGTGTTAGTGTATGTGTTGGATGACCGAGGGGAAAGAATTCTAAGAGAATATGAATAATATCGAAAAGTTTGGAGAGTGTACTGATGTATCAGTGAGACGCAAGTGTGTGTTGAAGTGAGTTATCGGGAATTATTATTATTATAATCAAAAAGAAGCGCTAAGCCACAAGGGCTATACAGCGAAGTTATTGGGAAGAGGGAGTAAGTTGTAGACTACTTGAAGTGAGTTGCATCAGTAAGTTATATCCTGACTGAGTTTATACAAATTACGTAATATCTTAAATTTTTCATTGGGGCAATATCTTCATTTCATCAAATAATACTCTTTTTTTTTTATTATCCAAGTCTTTCTCCCTAAACGATCTTTCGTAAAACTGATACTAAAAAGATTATTTAATAATCTGCATTCTAATTTATCTTAATATTAGATCAAACTAGAAAACAATAATTTCAACGTTTATTCAAGACCTGATAATACGTTGAATGAGTAAGACAATACTAAGAACGAGGCATGACATGGCAAAGTTCTCTCTCCCTGTATATATATGTGTATATATATATATATATATATATATATATATATATATATATATATATATATATATATATATATATATTTTGTGTGTGTGTGTGTGTGTGTGTGTGTGTGTGTGTGTGTGTGTGTGTAAATTACTGTTAACAAGAAAGACCACAGTCACTCTCATCAAGTTTTGTTAACAAGTCTTCAATTCCTTTACTTCATAACGCCAATTTTTTTCCCCTTGGCAAAGAGAGGTTAAAAAAAATCTCTGACTCTTTCATTATCTTACGTCTGCTCAAAAACGCAAATGATTCCAACTACAAAGGTTCATATTTACCCCCCAGAAAATGTAGCATTTTCTTTTCAGCATGACTGCAGGTTAAAAGTTCCTCTTCTTTGCAATTACAGCCAAAGCTTAAGCTTACGTGAATACTTACCATTGTCAAATAATTTCAGAGGCAAGAAATGAAGCCAGTTATTTTATAATGGGAGACAAGTGAACATGTGTACACTTAGTGTGGTTAATAAGTGGATTAAACACCTGCACACTTCCACCCCCCTCCCCTACCCCCTACCCCCCTGCCCCCTCCTCCCCCCATCCCTCCACTAACTTTTCCTTTCAATACACTTCTTTTTTCCATGTTATTTTTTCCCAGTATACTTTTCCAAAAATGTATTTCGTCGATACATATTTTTTTTTTTTTTCAGAAATACATTCTGTATGTTTTTATAAGTATTTTTGTACAAATAAAATATTTTCCTTACGCTTCAGTTTTATTTTTTTCATAGATTTTTTTTTCTCCAATATAAAAATTGCTTTTATTTCCCATTTTTCCATTTTTAAGTCATGTATTTTTTCCCACATACTGCATAATTTTTTTTTTTAAATTTCTCCTTAATATAATTTTCCCTCTTCAAATTATATTTTTATTGATTGATAATAATATTTTCCTAATAAGGAAATTTGATGGAATCATTATTTTCCATAAATAATAAAAACATAAATGAACAATCATCAATATCGTTTATTATAATCAAAATTAACATAAATGGACATATATAATACAGAAATTCAAAAGTAAAATATATGCTCCATTGAGAGAAGCTTTTGAAGTATTAAATAGTCGTGCACATTGTATATATTCCGAAAACACGCAGGTAGTATATACACCGAGGGATTTATACACTGAGATGTGCGTATATATTTCAGTGTTTATATTTACCGAGGGTTGTATTTATCTCATTACTTATACACTGCGTATATGTGTATGTATGTGTGTGTATGTGTGTGTGTGTGTGTGTGTGTGTGTGTGTGTGTGTGTGTGTGTGTGTGTGTGTGTGTGTGTGTGTGTGTGTGTGTGTGTGTGTGTGTGTGTGTGTGTGTGTGTGTGTGTGTGTGTGTGTGTGTGTGTGTGTGTGTGTGTGGTGTGTGTGTGTGTGTGTGTGTGTGTGTGTGTGTGTGTGTGTGTGTGTGTGTGTGTGTATGTGTGTGTGTGTGTGTGTGGTGTGTGTGTGTGTATGTGGTGTACTCACCCAGGTGTACTACCTAGTTGAGTTTGCAGGAGTCGAGTCAAGCTCCTGGCCCGCCTTCACTGGTCCCCACTAGTCACCTCCTGAACCATGAGCTTTATCGACCTCGGCTTAACTATATGGATGCCTGCCTCCACACACGTCCAATATTCACTCCTGATATCTTGGCTGAAGAAATCTTCTAACATCCTGTGATTCATCTGTGTCTCAGCTTCCAATGTGTACCATTATTGTGTGTCATTCTCGGAACATCTGTCTTATGTGTAGTGTGTGTGTGTGATGTGTGTGTGTGTGTGCGTGATGTGTGTGATGTGAGTGTATTGGCGGTGTGATATGTTTGTGTGTGTAGTACTAGAAGCGTAACACAAAAGAACGTAATTAGACACCGAGAGTTACGACAAATTACGTTAATACAACTAGGGGGATAATGACCAGGCTATCAAGCAAATTATCACACTATCACATTATCTTTCCTTTGAGACACAGGCATTATTAATGATGCCAGTGCATCACAAATAATGACCTTGTATTGCACAGGTTCGATCGAACGATGAATCCAAACAGGAGAGAAACTACCGCAGATTACAATAATTATTGTTTGATTTACCGAGAAAAAATGCAAAAATTGAAGCTGAAAATATATGGAATATGATAAACACACACGCGAAAAATTTCGTAATGACTAAGACGATCGAGTGCGGCGGGAAGAATAATTTTTAGATAGTATAAATCAAATAAGAAAAATATATAGCTTAGGAGCCCGAGACGAAGAGTGTCTCTCACTGAGGGTGTGTACTGCCAGTTTACTTTACATACTGTTTCAGATTAAAGTATTCTTGTCCGCTGGTGAAAAGGTTTACTTGCGGCATCACTAATCACCTTCGTGTAGTCGCTAGGCTTGAAACCTCGTTAACCAACCTAAATCTTTAAAAAGTCGTAGGATATAAACAGAGAGAGAGAGAGAGAGAGAGAGAGAGAGAGAGAGAGAGAGAGAGAGAGGAGAGGAAAGGTTACTCTGCTGCTGATCTGTTGTTAAACCTCTCCACTAAGTGGCACCGGTCACTGGATGAATCCAAAGTCAGCTGTGTTGTAGCACTAGACATTGCTGGCGCTTTCGACCGGGTGTGGCACCAGGGCCTCTTAGCAAAACTGCAAGCACTGGGAATTGCAGGCTCTACGCTGTCTCCTCAGTGATTACTCTCATGGTAGATCTCTAAGGGTAGTTCTCAACAGAACAGAATCAGCAAGACATCCTATTGGGGCAAGTGTTCCACGAGGAAGCGTGCTGGAACCATTGTTATGGAATGTCTACTTCAATGACCTTCATCTCATCCCAGAATAACATGCATATGCAGACGACTGTACACTGACATTCACTTATCCAAGAGAAGAAATGCCAGCTGCTCAATCACCAGCTAAGAGCTATGTCAGCTTGGGGAAGTAGATGGCAAATAACATTTGCACCTGAGAAAACACAAATGATGATGATCTCTAGGCACCATGATGGTAATGCCGGTGTAGTAGTAAGGATGAATGGGAGGGTGTTGTCACCTGGGGAAGAAGTTGATATCCTTGGGGTGAAATTTGACTCCAAACTGACTATGACAAACCACGCTGCAAATCTTGCAAGCAAGGCAGCCAGGAAGCTTACAGCACTTCACCGTATCTCGCATCTGCTTGACAGCAGGGGTTGCAAGATTTTGTACGAGGCACAAGTACGCTCACACCTTGAGTATGCTCCACTTTCTTGGTTTGCCTGCTCCCTTCTCATCTGCGACTGCTTGACAGAGCAGAGAACAGAGCAAGACGTCTCATCTCTCGCTTGGACCCATCCTGGATAGATCTGGCATTTCAGCAGAGCCTTCAACACAGGAGGGATGTGGGGGCCTTACTGTTATGTACAAGGCCAATATTGTCAAAATACCACACTTGGATCCACTTCGAGGACAGCGTGAAGCAAGCTTCTATACCACAAGACGGGCAGAAAGCAGCAACTTCACTCTGGCTGTATCCTTCTCCAGAACATCACTTCATCTGAGATCATTTATCCCCAGGATGACTCATTCGTACTGCATTATGATGTCAACGAGATAAAGTCAGGTGATCAAATGAAAATGCTGGCCCACAGATGGCTCCAACTTCATCCTGTTCCCTACTTGTATGTCTCATAACAATAAAAATGCTTTCAAATGAGCTGATGTAGGTAACAGCTCTTAGCTTGTCAATAAAGTTAGGAATCCTTAACCTGTAAATAGCTTGTCAATAAAGCTAGGGATCCTTAACCTTGTCAAACCCTGTGTAAAAGAGAGAGAGAGAGACAGAGAGAGAGAGAGAGAGAGAGAGAGAGAGAGAGAGAGAGAGAGAGAGAGAGAGAGAGAGAGAGAGAGAGAGAGAGGCGCATTTCGCTTCACGATATGCAGTCTATAAACTTCATGTTAATCCTTGTTATTCTCATTCAGTCTGTCTGTCTGTCTGTATATTTGTCTGTCTGCTTACCTGCCTCTCTCACTATCTCTCTTTCTCAAAGTTGCCAGATGAAAAAAAAAAATGGTAAAATGATTTTATGACATATTGAAAAACATTTATGTGTGTGTGTGTAATAGCAGAGGTGGAAGATGAATATGATTTCTTGTGGTGGACTCAGCCCGACCATCGTTCCCTGGATGGTTCAAGTGTCAGGTCTTCGCTTTCATAAGGTTTATGAGCTAATGTTAGTTGTATATTATTAGCTGTTGAGCCCGATGTTTGTAAAGTAATTTGTCCAACTGGTTCGTAAATGACTGTGCTTTAAGTTCTTTAATTCTG